GGGGGGGTCTTCGACCTGAAAAATCAGGGGTTAGGATTTGCACCCGGTTGAAAGAAACCTTGCTATCGCAAGAGTAACTCCAGCTAGCTTCGCTAGCTTTCGTGATAAGAATGGACATGTAAGAAATGGTGGGAGACAGTGAACTTTGAACTCGGCGTCCTCCCTTGCCAAAGGCGCCCAAGGGGGCACCGGCATTCTGTCCGCCTGCCGGTAGAAAGGGTGAAGAAAACATGCGTCGACCAAGGCACGACGTCGACTGGTGTCTTCCAAGTTGGTTTGGAACAGTTCTGAGCAGTTTGGAACAGAGGAAACATGAGGAAACTGCTTTCACATATTGCCACATGGTTTCACACCGACTGCTCTTGCCTTTTTCTCGCCACTCCCCCACACATACTATTCCAAACTCCAAGCGCATGGGAAGCCAACCGGCGAGTTCAAATATCGGGCTCTCCATCAGTGCCTTTGCTTGGCCATCCTCCTTTCGACCTGGCGAAGCGCGACGACGAAGCTCTTTGTGTAATACACTTCTCCTGACTTGGATCCAGAAAATCTTTTGCATATGAAGAGGCAGCAGTGTCATGCCCACCCTTCACAAACAGGAGCCAGGCACGGCCAGCCATTGCTCATCTGGGACGGAGCCTCAAATGCACAGTTACGTTGAGGCAGCTAAGCTGACCTGTTTTGGCCGAACAAAACCAGGCATCTCTGCTAGTGCTTTAAAACATGGCTTCACGTCCTTTCGAGCCCCCCGCATTCGCAGATTTCGTGTTTCTATCCAGCTTTCCAGGATTTCGCTCTTTGTGGCAATATATCTACTGGTAAACTCTATTCCACAGCCTGGGATTCACCAATCCTTTGGATCGGTTTTTGCTTTGCGGGCGGGATGAACTTCTTCATTCACGAGAACAGCCGATCCATCTTCTTCTTCTTCTTCTTCTTCTTCAACAACAAACCAACAAACAAACAAATGAACGAACGAACGAACGTCACTGCCCCCCTCCCACCCCCCTCATGTGAGTGAACATAAACATGTTGGTGAACAACCATGAAAGCACAGTCAATATTAAACACAAAACTCAAAACGGCTCCCAGGGGCCCGTATGGCCGTGACACCAAAGTGAAATTCTGCCTCCAGGTCAACCTGCAAACCACTGAGGCACCAGCGCTTTGAGAGGCACCACTACCTGGCGCCGTAGTAAAAATCAAATCCGCGGCGCAGGAAACGAATGATCAGGCGTGTGAAGATAAAGAGGTATGACATGAAGGAGGTTGAAGTGACTGTGAAACTTGAAGCACGGCCTCGGTGCTTTTTACACAAAGACTCGCGCCTGGCCAGCCTGCACCTGCACTGCCTGGAAGCAAAAAGCCGAAGTCTTCCGGTCGCCGACGGCACGTATACTCGTCTTGCCAAGATGCTGTCAGGCCAGCCGCTGCTAGCGCCTTTCCCGCTGTCTGGCCAGCCTCCCTTGCCACTGTCGGGCCAGCCGCCAGCGCCTTTGCCACTGTTCGGCCAACCACCTTTGCTTTGTGGCCCACCTTTGCCATTTTGCGGCCAGCCTGGATTCGGCAATGCGCAGTGCATCCATCGAACTTGGCATCACGACCCACAAAAGCGGCTGGCCTTTGCCACCAGTTTCCTTCTCCTGGCAGATGCAAAGAACGCAAAAAAAAAAAGAAACATAAAACACACATCCGTCATCATCCATCATCATCCGACCTTCCCCGTTCGTTTCTTCTCCGTTCGTCCCACCGGAGTGTTCCACCGACGAACACCGTCGGGCCTCCTCCTCGTCGGATTCCTCTTCGGAATACGACTCCTCGGAGCCTTAAGCCAAGCCATGCCATCGACAAGCCATCGACAACGCGCCGGAGCGAAACCAAGCAAACAAGCAAGCAAGCAAGGAAGCAAGTCAGCAAGTGAGCAAGTAAGCAAGTGAGCAAGTAAGCAAGTGAGCAAGTAAGCAAGTGAGCAAGCAAGCAAGCAAGCAAGCAAGAAGCCACTTTTGGCCTAGGCTCTAGGGTTTAGGGTTTAGGGTTGTCGCGCATGTCGGGGTGTCGCGTGTTGGGTTCCATCACCCGGGATGTGGTGGGTGGATGCGGAAAGGTTTTGGTGGTTTCTTTTGGGCCATGTGCGTGTGCAACTGCTCCCATCTGGTGAGCGTAAGCAAAACAAAAAACAAAGAATTTCACTCTACAATACGCCACAGATGTGGCTGAGCGAAACCAACCGACACTGAGCGAGCTGCCTGAACTGCTGCTTGGAGGCTTGGCCTGGAGCCCCAACAGAAAGGCCACGGGACTGGTGTTCTCGCAGCTTCCCGGCCACCCCGGGAAAACACCAGTGGCAGACGAAGTACACACAGTCAGTCAGTGGGTTTTGATCCATCGGAGGTTCTGAGAACCAACCTTGCTTCTACCAGAGGCCCTACCTTGCCTCCCGATAAACTCAACACATCTCAAAACCACCTTCACACTTCTAAGAATCTTGACCATAACAAAGTGTCCAAAGCCTCTTTGAGAGTATATACAGCAATATATACATTAAGCCACAAACAAAAAACTTACCAAGAGCACCGACAATGAGCCTATGAGCACAGCTCAGTTCGTGAACACTCTCAGCTGCATTCGAAAAAGCTTCGGAAAGCCTTGGGTGCAGAGCTGGGCTTGCTGGGCCTCAGGAGGCGATTTCAACCCGCCAACAGGGTGCAGACCTCAGGATGTCACTATGGCTCCGGCGAAGATTTGGGAGCACCTGGCAGATGTGAAACAGAGAGATGTGAACAGACCCCATGGCCGATGCTGGCTTAGCAGCCTGGGGGGAGCCATCGCTCAAAAGGTGGAGGCCATCGCTAGTAGGTTGGAGTCTTTGGGGGGGAAGAAGAAGCCAAAACTCGAGGGCATCGCTCTTGGAGTTCTCCTCCAGCACTTTGTCCAGAGCAGCTTCCACGTTCCAATTCGCCTTCCTCAGCTTCCGACTCGCTGCAAGATTCATTGCAAGATTGAAGCAAAGGAAGACTTCTACCAGTTTCAACCTCAAATGGTGTGCCTGTGTGTCTCTTTAACCAAATCCTGGGATAAAGAACCTCCCCTGCATTGCTTCTCTTTTGAAGTCCACCGATATCAGCTGCACACACTTTTCTCGGCGCTCTCGGCACCATCTCAGTGCCCCAGCTCCAAATATTCTTCAGCCACACGCTCACTCACCTGTCGCAACCAAGGCGCAGTCAGTGACCAGTGACCGTCGCAGATTCTCACCCAAGCCGCGAAACCGCCAAACCGGAAAGCACTGGGGATTTGGAGGATTGGAACGGGATCAAGTTCAGGGTTCCAGGGTTCCAATCAAAGCCTGGGCTGGAGAAGGTTTGCTAAGACCACTTTGTCCAATGGTAGGGCTGTTGAGATTCTGGATCTCTTGATGACCTAACAGCTGTTGGTGGTCGTTGAGGTCGGTCCTCATCCTGAGAGTCCTTTGGTCCATTCCAAATGAAACCCCTTCAACTGGATCATCTTCCTTCATCTTCCTGTTTTTGGGGCCCTGGGGTTTTGGTCGTTCCTTTCTTCAGATTCTTCATCTCTGGTCAAAAAAGACCACGACCCAACGACCAGCTTCGGTGACTTGACCACGACCCACGTGGCAAAAAAAGCGTCAACGACGACCATCAACCGTCCCAATGACGGTTGACCGCACCTTGGTGATGGACACCACTTGATCCACTCGGCTCTTGCGCTCCGTCCTCGGTCGGCGAGGTACGGTGCGCCGGCGCCTCTCTTCGTGGACCGGTCGTGTTCACGAAACTCGGTTTCCGGGTCCGTCTGAGACTGAAGAGTTTCCACTGGCACGTCTGGACATACATCACAGCCACACAGCCACACTTGAGCTCACTTCTCTGCGATAGTCTTCTTTGTCATTTCATCGAGACGATTCTTCCCTCTGAGCACACAGCCAGCCAGGCTTCTCATTCGGCCCTGTGCAGCAGAACTGCGACACAAACGACCAAGACATGTCAGACAACGAACCGAAACCATACAGACATCCCTAGACCTCCTAAGTTGCTGCTTACGTCTGCCATTCGCACATCCACCATTCCTCCATCCTCCATCCTTCCCTTCTCGGCATCCCCGACGGCTGAGCGACGGCGGCCCTGGCGACGTCTCGGACGCCAGATACCTGCGGCGGATGTTCGGACGGGGCGTGGTTTGGCCACGCAAAGACCAAAAGCAAAGGCAAGCAGAACGGCATTGGAAACATGTTACTGTCTTCAGTACTGTCTTCAGTTTCCTGCCCTAGTTTCTGAAGCTGATCCAACCAATTATAATGTGTCTGATTTGAGTCTCACTCGGCGGTTTCGGACGTTTGAACTACCGTCTAAAACAACAATTGATCGACCGGAGTCTGACTTCAGATCTCAAGTGGATGTTAAGGCTGCCACTGCATCACTGCATTGTGCAGATCCCAGTTGTGCCTCTCAAGGCTTTCCTGTGTCTCATCCGACCAGAAGCGGCTTGGATTCAGAGATGGAGCGGCAGTCAAAACCATTCAAAACCACACCCTGCTCCAGGGTGTTCACTGGTGCGATTTCGCATGTTTCACTGGTGCGAAAGCTGATGCTTTCGGTGCACCGAGCGAGCCCTTTCCGTCCTTTGCCACGATCCGAGAGGCGTTTGTGACGCTCATGAACTGAGAGATCTCAGCGGACCCCGCGAGGAACGGCACGGCGAAACGGCGAGGAGGATCCATTTGTTTGGGTCTTCCCAACAGATGAGGGGGAAAAAGAACATAAAGTAGTAAGACACGCTCCGTTTTCGGATTCAGCTCCTGGGGTGCATGTCAGGATCAGAGGCTCTGAGGATTTGTTGTCAGTCATTGAAAAAAGGAACTGAGGAAGGAATATCCCTGGTTTAAAAGCTTTAAGCTGAGAATCAATCCTCAATCCTAGCTCTTGGTGGGTGGAGACCCCAACACCCAACTCAAACCAATGCCACCTCCAAGTTTGATCTGAAGCCCACATTGAAAAACCATTCAACGTGACGAATTCTTCCCACCAAGTGGATTCAAACATCAACCATGAACACGGGGAGGAATCAAAAATTCATGTGTGTGTGTGAGCGAAACCGGAGAAGTTGCTCTCTCCTCTCGGTCAGACTTCCGCGCGGTTTCCGCTCAACGAAACACATGACTCTTTGGTCTTCTCACCGTGTTAAACACGGGAAAACGAAGCATCTCGCCGCTCGCCAATGCTTTTTTCCTCGATCTGGGGCTCTGCACCATCTGTGATGTGTCGCCATCAGCACCACCTGCGCGGGTTCCACTGCTCAGAACCAAAGGCTGCCAAATGATTGTGGGATTCACCAGTTTTCACTCCAAGCAGCTTCAACACATGAAATGAACGTCTCCTGGTATTTCTCTGCGAGTATTTTGAGATCTTGATATCATAGTTTGTTCCCAACATCCGCTGAAACACTCAACTTTTCGGTCCAAACCTGGTGAGGCTGGGCTGGACTGTGGGCCTCAAGACGCACCGAACAATACCAAAAAGGTGACAACGCTCGCGCGCTCACGCGAGCGAGCGAGCGAGTGGGTTGAAGCCCGCAGATGCACCCGTCGCGCACCCTCGCTCCGCGCACACACGCTCCGCGGACGAGCCCCTTGGAGTGGCTCGTTTTCCTGCGCCGCTTCAGTCGAAACACTGGTTTCGCCTCTCCGGGGCGTCGGGGCACGAAGCCACCGCAACACAGGTGGCGCGTCGTCGCTCGTGCGGTGAAAACGACATGGCCGCCGGGCGTTGCTGCTCGGGCGCGTCGAGCTCGGGCGTTGTTCGTGGCGGTTCATTGGTCCCTTTTTGGGGAAAAAAAACACACCGTGCTAAGTCATGCTGCGCGGCGTGCGGAGGTAGCGTATACAGGGTGTCAGGCGGTCGCCTCGCGACCCGGGGGGCTGAGGGGGTCCAGGATTCGACAATGCGAGGATGCGAACAAGTGCGAGGACGCGTGCTTTGGCAAGCGATCACTTTTCCATGAGCCTTGTGCCAATGGCATCAGTCATGTACATAGAATGTGAGACCGTACGTGACTATATAGGTAGAAAGCAAAAGCAAACAAAGGGTGTGAATGGGGGGCAGGGCTGGGATATGACCTTCCGTTTCGACTGCGCGACTGCCGTTTGCCGTTTAATGGGCGCGTGCGACATGTCTGTTGCGCTCGCATGGCAGATGATGGCAGCGTGCACATACACGTTGTAATACAGAAGACATGTTTAACTGGAAGAGACTGTTGTTACTCAAAGTGGTGGCCTCTTTTCTTGCTCAGTTTCTGTGCCCTCGAAGTTGGATCTGAAACCTAGCGTGGCTTTACAGCTGAACAAAGAGCTCATCCATCTGAAGATGCTCACACGAGTCTGAAAATGCTGCAAACATCCAAGTAAAAACGACCTTGAAATTGTTTTTCTATGGGGTGAAAGGATGTTGTTGGGCACGTCTTTACAGGCCCGCTGACCGTTTGACACAGCCTTGATTGAATCTCCTTGAATCTTCTGATTGTGAATATACAAATAGATCTATCACTTACTTACTTACTTACTTACTTGACCTTGAAAGGCTTTTCTTTTGTTTCCCAGAGTGCACTCTGAAAAAAAAAAAAAAAACCTTTGCCGTCCGTGACCGGCCGGCCGGGACCTGCATCCCTCCGGGCCGCTGGGGACCCGGACTTTCCTCGGGCTGCTTCTTTCTCCGGAAGCGGCGCCGGTCCCGGTCGAAGGGTGACTTGAAGGCTGACCCACCACCCTCCTGGCGCAAGAAGCAAAGTCCGGAAAGCAAGCAGAACAATGAGACGTCACAAACGTCTACTTTCATCCTCTTTCATCAAATCAAGTAGATCAAGTAGCTGAGTTTCACACACAAGTAGACTCGACTCTTCCTTTTCTCTTCATCCTTTGTCAGCCCTCCCCATCAGGTCGGCCCGGCTCCTTTGAGATTGGTTCGGAGCCCCCACCAACACCGGCCGAGGTCATTTTCTGCTTCAGCTTCTCTGCCTTTTCCTTCTCCTCCCAGCTCGGCGCAGACATGAACCAAGCCTCAAGGATGAACCCAAAAACAACTTGTTTGAAAGGACATCCAAAAAACCATCCACATCCATCCACCCAATGAATCATCTTCATGAAACGGTATCAGATTTCGGAAACCCTCCCAACTCTCGGATGAACCAACTAAACTCGACTCACCATTCCGTACCTCACTTCTCCTCCCCCCCCCAGCGCGCGCGCCTCTCCCGCCCGCCCCCGCCCCCGCGCCGCGTGCGCCGCGTCGGCCTCGGTGAGCAGCTCTTCGTCTGCCAGCATCTCGAGGATGGCGCTGGACTGCCGTTCGCTCCGGCGAGGGAGTGTTCGGCGGAAAAGCGAACAAAAAAAACCAACGACGGAGCAGCTGATGGAAGAGAATCAGATGGATTCTTATATGGATTCATATATAGATGAACGATGGATTCACATGGAACACTGGACATCCAGATTTGACTCGCTTCCCAGTTCTTGAACAGTCTTTGCCGTCTGAGGACCCCTTTAAAGAGCTGTTATTCCAATGTTCATTTCACAAGATTGTTGCAGGTCAATGCTTCATTGACATCGGCTCGATGTTGGAAAAAGAATGAAAAAATGCTGAACCGAAGAACTGACGGCCATTGTGTATTCCTGGAACCCCAGTCCCAACCAGAAACAAATGGTCGTTGCAATGTGGCAATTGAGATCCTTTACATAGGAAATGGCTGGGACTGGGACTGGGGAGAGATGTTTCTTTCTGATTGGGACTGGGTTGGGACTGTTTGAAGTCGTAGTCGTACGTTCGCCAAACGACGAAGATCTCCGAGAAGCACTCGACCGGTCGCCTTGGAGCGGATACCGGAGCCGACGTCCTGCCAGCGAAGGCAGCCAGAACGTGTGTGTTGCATTTTCCGCTTGGAAATCCTGTTCCACAAGTAAAGCCATGAACAGGAGAGTGAACGTGAAAGCTCATGAGAATCGGCTGCTTCTTGGGCTTTTTCTTGATCCTCGCCCACGCTTGCCACAACATCCATAGAGATCTGCAACCCCCAAGTCTCGCGTTCGTCCAGTCTACGGGCAGCTTGGAACAACCCAGTCCTTGCCCTCCTCCATGTATCGGAACTCTTTCCACTGCCTACGGAAACCACTTGCATGTCTAATCTAAGTTCATGCCAAGGAGCGTGCCTTGCATCGCCAAAATCGACGAGAATCGCACATTGGAATTCCTTTTTTGTTGGCCGTGTTTCCTCTTGATTCCACCAAACAAATACTGCCTGTTCACTCTGTGAAATTCACGCACACAATGTGCTCCCAGGTCATCCCGCTCAACGCGCACTCTCAGCGCGCGAGTTCCGCGAGTTCCGCGCTGCCGCTTTGCTGGGCGATTCGACTGGATCCTCCAAGCATCTCTTCTGACGTCCTCGCTCCGAGCTCCGCGCCGTCCGCGCGGTCGTGCGAGGGTCGGGGAAGGGGTCGAACGCACCAGCCGGTCGGCGAAGCGTGAACTGGTGAAGAAGGCGGCGGGAGACCCAAATGAAGAAACACTCTTCAGCTATACCGAGACCTTGGGTCTATCCTGACTGCTAATAGGACAGACCGAGACCGAGACCTTCGTCTTTGTTCAGTTTAAAATTAGGAGCTCGTGACCAGGCATGAATTGGATGTGGCCTGACAACACGCGTCCGAAAGCTGAAAACGGAACTCTCGCGAGAGCACACTCCTGGATCGCCCGCTCGCTGCCGTGCTTCAGGATCATCTGTGGACGAGTCGAGCTGGGGGAGCTAAGTAGCTCCAAGCTACAGTAGCGAAGTAGCTCCAATGTGCCTTTGACCTCTAAATACTGCACCAACAAAAGCGGTTCAAATGTGCAGAACATGGTGACTCCACATGTCGGCCAGACTCTTTCTGTTGGAGCTATCTTGGGAGACACAAAAGCTCCCTGCATGGCCAAAGAGCCTCTGTCCAAGAACACTGCTGTGAGCCTCGATCAAAGAGAGTGCTTTGACTATCCGGCGCCACTCCTTATCTTTTTTCTCCTGCATTTCGTTGGCCGCAAGAAACAACACAAATGGAACATCATGGATTTTTCTGAAAAATGTCACGCCATCAGCTTGGTGAAATCCACGGCACATGATGAGATCTCCTGCAGGATCTTCCAAAGGAAAGACATAATGAGATCGCAATCTTCCTGGCGGAGCAAGGGTCAGCAAGGCGGCGGCGGTCAGGTGATTCCTGGCAGCCCCCCAAATCGCCGCACTTGGGGATGGGGATGGGTTCGAACTCCGAAGGGTTCCAGTTTGTGTCGGGCCACAAGGCAAGACGCTTTCGGCGCAACACGAAGACCCCAACGGCTCCGTTCGACGCCCGCCACTCGCGACTCGCGGCGATGCCGGCCATGTTGTTGGTCGACTGGGCGATCGCCTGGCGCGACACGGTTGGACGTCCGGAAAAAGGTGCCGTCCTTGCGCCGCGAGGGTTGATCAAACAGAAATGGGACGATTGGGTGGATCTGCAGTTACACTCGGTTGATCAGAGTTGTCCAGGTTTTTGTTTGTTCAAGTATCCCGTAGTATCCCGTAGTATAGCTGTTCTGGACTCACGCGCTTCGAAAACAACCATGCTCTCTTGTGGGCATATCAGCACGACGGGACTCGCAGGTCCACATGGGCGATGCCTGCAGGGTGGTGTTCGGAACACCCCAATTCTCCCGCGACGTGGCCTGGCGCGGCGCGCCCCGACGCGGTTCGAGGTGCGCTTCCACCGCGTTTGGGGTTCGGGAGCCGGTTCCGGAGCGAAGTCGGCATCGCTCTGCGTTACGCCCCAAACGCTCCTGGTGAATTCCTCCGCTTGAGAAAGAAAAGGAAAGTGGCATGGCACAAATGAATCCAACCGGACAATCCTCGCCGCCCCAGCCGAGCGCGATCTGCCACTCTTTCCGCAACGCAGCAGGTGTCGCCTCGGACGGCTGAACCAGTTTGGACAAAACCAAACGGGCGATCCAAGTTTTGGACAATATCGCAATTGTTGTGTTAATTTACTTCATATAAGATTATATAAGAACATCTCTTCAATTGTTTGGAGTTCGAGTCTTCTTCATACCCTCTGGACTGTCCGAGCTTCACTGTCTGCGTGAGTTCTTCGTTCACTTCCCAACCAGAGGCGCCTCGCCTTGCGCGCCCGGCGTCAAAGAAATTCGCGGCCTCGCTGTAGGGCGCGAAGCGCCTTGCATCTCGACAAAATACCAAGCACTGGTCTTAGAAATGGTCAAAAAAAGATCAAACACATCAAGTGATCTCAAACACATCAAGAATCACGTCAAACATCATGTTCTAACTCACTGCGACATGTTTTGCTTGCCTGAACGCTCTCACTGGGCTCCTGGGAACTCTCCTTGGAACGAACCACAACCGTGCGAGAGCTGCGAGGACAAGTGAAAAAACACTGAACCACTTACACCTCAGGCAACCTCAGCCTGACCTATCCTATCCCCACAAAAAGTGTTTCAAACCCTGTCAGGAACTGCCTGACAGCGGGGTTGGAACTCCGCAAAAACCACATATACAAGATATGAGATGTCCAACACCATCCTTCTCTGAAGGGCTGAAGGGCCCTGGGCATCCCAGGCCCTATGCGGTCGTCTGCGCGCTGTTGCTATCGACTCCGCTTATCTCCAAGTCGCCTCAGCAGCCTGTGCTCGTCGGATGGACCGTTCTTGTTCCTGCAAATTCCGAGAGGTTTTGGCTGCGAATTGCAAATCTACTATGGATATATGATATAGATCTATGCAAAATACACCTTTTTAAGAGAAATAAACGACCAAAGTTGTGAACACCAATGCGAAAATCTGCGAAATCCATCTCAGGGGCCGTGTTAACATTGCGTCTGCGCTTTTGCTCGCCTCGGGGAAGGGAAGAGGGGTGAACTCATCGGATATAGGGACGCAGGGAGGATTCTCAAGCCTTCCTTTTTCCCTGATCCCCGAAGAGGGTCTGGCACTGTCGAATCAAATTCTATGTCAATGAAGGAAAGCTGCGATTGCATGACATCACCAACAAGAGTTCTTTAATGTCCTTCTAAACACCTTCCAGAAAGTTCATATATATATATATATATCATTGTATAATGTGTGCAAATATATATATATATATGATATGATATATGGCTGTGGGGCATTCCCTCCGCGACACCCTGGGATTTTTTCCCTCTTCCCACCGAACTGAATCGACGACGATGAGAGGTTTTTCACCCCTAATAAGGTTCGGGTTTCCTGCGCTTGCCGCGGTCCTCGTGGGACCAAGCTTGCCGCTGCAGCTCCTGAAGTGGCCCCAGTCTTCGGAGAAAACACTTGCTCTTCACGTCCTCGTCACCCGAAGGAAGTTGGAACTCGAGTATTTCCATGTGCCGAAGATCAAAGCCTGGGGCCCAAGGGGAGTGCCCTGGCGGAGCTCCGACGGACACGGGGTGATCGGCCACCCCGGTCCTCTCGGTAGCTGCCACGTGGCCGGGCGCTCTCGTGCGCCGCCTGTTTCACGGAGGACCCAGGTGAGACTGTGGGGGATCGATCCGAGGAATGGTCTTGGAGTGGTGTTTTCAACGTCAGCGGGTCGTCCGCATTTGAAGCCGACTCCCAGAAAGAGCCAGATCCACGGAGGGTTGGGGTCGAGAAGGTCCGCGGTCAGGTCCGCATGCGTTTTCAGCGAACGTGAGGTCGGAGGTCGGAGGACCCACCGTGGTGGGTCGCTGAACATTGGTCCCCACCTCCTCTACAGCTTGTGCCGCGACCACCTAAGCGCACAACGGCTCCAAAATCGACTTGATGAGTTGCGGACCCCAAAAACGGGTTGTTACAGAAGGGCCACAGAAAGGCCCCAGGAAAGGCTGGAGGAAAGGTACATTTGCAGGCTTTGTTTCTGAACTTAATCGTCAAAGGCGAACACCATGGACCATAGATTCAAGCTTTGTACGATTCCGCATGTAGATTCTTTGGACCTTCAACCTTCTTTTCAGAACTTTAAAATGCAATTATCTCTGAATCCTTTCTTCTCCAAGATGCTGCCGCATGCCTCCGCTGCCAATCCCGAAAGGCTGCTTTGCTCGAGGCCCTCGCAGCCTCCGGAGCCATGCGGATCACCAGGAGAAACGCCGACCAGTCTCTTTGGCGCCGGTCCGGTCCGCCTTCACCAGCATCGATGAGAGCTCATCGGTCTGGCGAGAGCTTTCGGTGCAGCAGAATGCAGAATACGTGACTTCCTTCGACACGCCCCTGATGTCCTCTGCCCTGGTGCCTTCCTACTCTTCTTCTGGTGACTCGCCCTCTTCGGACCAACTGACGCTTTTTTCGGACAGCCGAGACGGAGACCAAACAGACGAGATCATCGTCTCAGCTTCGCCCCCCCACCTTCGCCTGGGTGAGCCCCTCCGCGAAGTCTGTTCGGAGAAAGTGGCCCCCTGAACCGCACAGGATCTCCGACGCCAAACCACCGACTCGTCCTGTGAATCCTTTGGTTCCTGGACGTTTCGGCCGACTTCGCCCATGACCGGGCGGACAGCAGAACGGAGTCCAGTTGGCGTTCGAACAGTTCCAGCTACACTTTCCACCCAAAAGCCATGTGCAAAAGCTCCAGTCCATACCCGTTGGTCCATGCTCCACTGAGGCCACGTGCGGAGAAACTCAGGATCTTGCGCTGTCAGGTCCTGAAATCGTCCGTTCAGTTCGACGCCGAAGGCCACGTCTTTGGAGCTCACGTCTAAGCCTACTGGTTGCCGGTCTCTTGGTTTGATCTCCGAGTTGGAAGTCTGAGATCACCAGGAAAAAGACAAACAACTTCAAGTTGGAAATCTCCCCAACTTCGGTGTGGCCTTATCATCAACCGCCACCCAGTTGGCATGGGCCAAGTCTTTGTTAGCTGCCAACCAACCTAAGAGACAGGTACACAAAGCAAAAAATGGCCTAAAACCTCCCCTTGTTCGTCGGGTCTCGCGGTTTGCCCCGGGCGGTTTGCCCGGAAGGGGCTCCCCGCAACGCTAAGCTTATGGCTTCGGATCTCTTCCACACAGCAGTCACTGGAGCCACAAAGACTGGGCGTGACCTTGCACGGAGTGGATCGGCGACAGGCGCCCACCCTTCTCTTCTACCCAACCTTGGGACAAAGAACACACAAATAATCATAAGGACAAGGGTTCCTCTTTGGTCTAGAGCCCTTCTCTTTGGTGTAGAGTGTAGAGCATGTGTTAGCAGTTGGTGCGCAACCAATGCCGCCGTGTCAGCTTCCGATCCACACGAACGACCGGGTGGAGTCCAACGGAACCACCGACCAGTTGGTGCCAAGCAGCTCCCAGAATCCTTCCCGGTGCCAGCTTGCCCGCAGAGAGGCCTCGCCGAGAGGTAACTGAGGTAGCCCCCCCCGCAGAGAGGCCGTCCGTGGCAAAAAAGGTTCCGATGTGAAAGAGGCGGAAGCAGAGGGAGAGGACACGTCCCGGTGACTGAACCTTTTTCCCGAGAACAGCCGAAGTGAATGTCACGAGAAATCAATGAAAAAGGCGTTGGAAGGGTATCAAAACCAGCAAATGTGCAAAAAAAAATCCTGCACATGAACTCACCACTCGATACAAGCAACCAATCAGTCACCAATCTATATATCACCACCTCAGTCCACTGGAACCAATCACCATCCATCAGCTTCTCCCAAAAAAGACAGCGAAACGACGTTTCTCGCCATCCAAGCTTCGCCTCGCTTCGCCTCGCTTCGCCTCGCCTCTGAGCACATGGTTCAGCGCCCGCATGGTCTTACGGCGCTGCGTGGTCAAGACCACTCCAGCATCGTGGTCCCGGACCTCGGTGTTCTCCAGTCGCCCGTGCGTGGGTCCCACTCCACTGGGCTGGTTGAACGGCTGGTGCTCCGATCAACACGAAACATGAAAGGTAGGTTTAACTTCACGGGTGCTGGCATCGGAGAAAACGAAGCAGTGATTGATTTTACAGTTCTTCAAGAAAGATGAAAGAAAAAGATCCTCTGCGCAAAGAGCAATTTGGGACCTCACTTCGGGGTGGTTCCCCCTTTCTTCCAATCGTCCAAAGCTGCTAAGTGTTGGGCAACTTGACTCAGCCGCCGCACCAAGGTGGGATCCAGGTCCACCTTTCCACAAGAGAAGCAAAGCAGGTCATGGGACGCCACCCCCTTCACATGGTCACCACTGGTAACAAATGAGAAGCAAAGCTGCCGTGCGTCACCGGGACAACGATCTTCGCTCATCCGCCACCAATTTCATTCTCACCAACCAGAAGCATGTCCACTCTGCCGTACCCGAACATCACTCCGTATTACAGACGTTTTTCTTGAATCCTTTCGCAATAGACCAAAGCATCTTGAAGTTCAATATCCATATAACACTGCCTAACACAGTACATAACACCATCTAACCATCTAACACCTCTCAGTGTATGCCACATCTTCCCTGGTCGCCTGATCTCCTCTGGTCAGAACTCCATCCACATCCTCCAAACACGACAATTGCCGTCGTTTTTGGGAGGAAACGTTCCAGAGCAAAAGTCTGCGCGGTCCAACCAAGGCCATTCCCATTATCTAGCAGCTACCTGCCGAGCTTGGTGTGTATAAACACTCAAGGTGCCAGTGCAACTTGCTTCACTTTCAATTCAATCTTTTCTTCCTCTCTTCTCTACATCACCAAAATGCCCGCACGCACCGGGAATGCGCCTGAAAAATGAGGTTACGAAACGGATACGCCTCGGGGTCCACCACCTGCCAGGACCGCGATGTTCATCGAATTCGACCGAGCGACGCGACCGTGCTGGGCCTCCGCACCGGTGTCGGTGTGGCGGCCATCAGCGCGCTGCCGCTGCGCGCCATGGGTTTCGCCGAGAGACGCAGTTCTGAAGGCTGATGTGCGAGACGTGTGCGGTGCCAGTTTTGCCCGTTTTGATCATGTGCGGTGCACGGCGAAGCGTCAGTGTTGTTTCCACATCGATGTAATGACCTCGGATTCCTTTTCTTTCGCAAACTCTATGGGTCCATGGCATCATCCCAATCCATATGGAGCAGCTTCCAAGAAAAAGAAACTGGCGGAAAGCGAACGAGGATCCACCTACCATCCTTCACACCAGGTCAGGCCGGGCAGCCCGCAGCCTCTTTGAGTTGAGCCTCGAGTGGAGATTCCTTCTTCCTGGCGGAGGCAAAGCTGAATTGCCAAATTGAATTGCCTGGTCTCATGAAATCTTTGCCTGCCAAACAAAAGAAAGAACTTGCATAAACTTCTCACCTGATCACAACATGATCACATCTCTTGATCAAAACATTACATTCAAGCTAAATCTTGAACCAAGTGCCATCAACTGCCCGAAGAACAGCGCGCAAAGCCGTCCTCAAAGTGCCTAGGCCTTCTCGCATCCGACTGATCATCTTGACCTGGCTGGGCCAGCCAGTGTGGCATGGGAAAATGTGCTGGCACCCTGTGGTGCTCCTAAATCTTGGATGGTTCTCTGGGTCTTGTTCAACAAAATCCCTTGAAACCAGCCAAATTGTAGGGTTCTTTTGAGCTGTTGAGTTGAGTTCATTTCGGCAAAAGGTTTTGTTTTCAAAGGAAAGTTTCCAAACTACTTCTTTCGACTCACATCACGTCTGCACCACATCACTGGCCTGCAGAACTGTCGAGAAACAACACCGGCGTTCAGAAGGAATCTACCAAGCTGTCGTTTTTGTCTTCTTGCTGTATGTGCTGCTGTGTGTTGTGGCATCAAAAGGCCAATAAAATGGTTCGCAACTTGGACTTGGAGGCAACACAAATGACTGTAAAGAGCCTGTCACACTGAGATTGCAAAGGAATCAAACCGTTGTAGTTCCGCTTTAACTAAGTTTCATCGATGCCCTTGGTGGAGCGTTCTGAGCCAAACGACACAACCCCCTGCCAATCTCCCCATTTGAGCCGGATCCACCCTCCAAATCCAAGAGAATACGCAGGGAATCACACATCTTCACAGGATTTGTAAAAATCGTCGACAGTGACATATTCACGTGTGGTGTAATTTGAGGAAGTCGTGGGTTCCATTCGATGAATCATGTCTCTCATGGCACAGTTGCCTTCTGGCCTTTAGTCTTTGGACTCAACCTTTTACATGGTGTGGTTGTCCTTTGAAAGCTGAAAACTGGGTCATATCCACGCTCCGGGCTTGCTTTGGTATTCAGACCGTGCACTGGAGGTCTTGACGACAGGTTGCGGCTGCGGCTGTGGTTGTTGTGGCTGTTGCTGCTTTGGTTGTTGTATATAGTGTTGTTGTGGTGGTGGTTGTTGGTTTGACCAGGGACAGAACCAGACACACAACATGCAAAAACTGCAAGGCAACTTGGGCTGCATAACTCGCACCACAAGGCCGCTTCCCAAACGAGTGTCAAAAACATTTCGCCGGGCTCGTTTCCGCGCGTGCGGTTGAAGACATTTGTCAAGTCTTCACGTGGTCAATGATGACGAATGTCCGGTGTGTGACTGTGTATTGCATTGATGTGAAAGGTTTGTTGCAGCATGTAGTACATGGAAACAACTCAAAAATCGTTGCGATTTTGACATCGAAGTGCTACGAGACTGTGGTTTTGTGCAAAAACATGTGTTCTTTTTCATCCTCCAGCATCATCATCACAGTCTGTGGGACAACTTCTGACCCAGCTTCGTCAGAAGATCGTCTTTATTCTGGTGCCCAGCCATTGCCACTGTCGAATGAACTTCATGCTGTTTGGGTTTATACCCTCACCTGCACGTGAACGCAAGCTAGTGGGGACCGACTCCTTACACAAACGCCACATACCATCACAATGGCACCGGTGTGGATGAGCAGCTCTCCCGACCTCAAGCATCTGACAATCCCCCGAACGGAAAAACATCGGAATAAACAAGCAGTCGGCAACCACCAAGCCAAGTTTCCACACGTCGACGTCAAAAGGAACTGACACACCCCGACCACCTGTGCGCACCGACCTGTCTGTGTGTCTGGCTTGATCTTCTGCACTATGATGCACTGAACCTGCTACGTCTTTAGCCCCCCTAACAGTTTCAGTGTCTTTCATGACGAGCTCGTCCGACCTGGGATTTTGTGGGGGCAGTTTCCAGGGTCCCCCAAAAAGAGTCTTTCGGAAGGGGGGGCCCGCAACTCACAGCCACGCAGGGACCAGGCAACCACGACGAAGCACCAAGCAACGAAGGAGCCAGGGGAGAACGCCGCGCAGCAGCTGCGGGATCAATTTGAAGCCGAGGCGGTGCACCAGAGGTCAAACTGACGTGGGACCGACCTCAAAACTGGGCTCACCCAGCCTCGCTGAGAAACAGCCTCCCAACTCTCACCACACCTTGCAAGACTCTTGCGGAAGCTCTTCGGTCAAGAGCCTCGGTGGTACATAGGTGCGGTGCCAAGCCCAGGAAAAGCTGCAAGGAGCCGCTTGTGTTCCTACTACTACTCAAGGTTCTAGGGTGACGACCTTCCTGAAACGATGGTCTATCTGACTTCAATCTTCTGACACTGGGCAAGTCTATTTCTTCCATGAGTTTTTACCACGCCCCACTCATCCAATTCCCAGGTGCAGGTTTTGACCTCTACCGACGCCCTGGCCGACTCTCCCAGACGGCCACACCAAGAAACGAACGAAGTCCCCAAAGATACAAAAGGACCGGACATTTGGAGGAGATGAAGAATACCCTTCGGTGTGAACAGACTTACTGACTTTTGCTGGTCTTGACATCGATTTTTGGTTGCGCGAGTCGCTGAGTCCAAAAAACAAACACCAACACCTTCGCCATCCGCCTTCCTTCGCCTTCCCAAGTTCCCAAGCCATCCGTGTTGGTGAGGAGAGAACAAACACTCTTCTTTTATGTACTTCCTCATCTTTCACTGGTGAGCACAGATTGAGGAAAGTGGATTGCTCTGTTCGAGCCCAGATTGAGTCCTACACTTCGTGGTGAGCCCACGACGAAGTGGAGTTGCTTCATCTGTCGAACATTCTATGTCCTTGTTACAAGTAGCTTCTTGCTACTAGTAGCGATGCACTTGTTCCTAGTAGCGATGCCCTTTTTACTAGTATACGGCTCAATATGCTCAAGGGTTTCTTTTGAATCAAGATGCCGCGCATCCGAGAGCTCCAGAGTGGAGCCCGCCACGCCGTCTCCGGTGTCCAGCAACGTGGCGCCGACGTCTTTGTTGGAAGGTCAAGCGATTCTACGCCTCGCAGAGTGCAGGAAGGAAGGAGGCTGCAGGCCGCAGTGCAGGCAGTTTGGACGCCTAGTTTAGAACTTGAAAAGCGAAAACAATGTCCAAGCCGGACATGAGAATATGGCCAAAAAGCAACAGATTAGAACCCAGCTTGAATCATCCTTCTATCGCGAACCAAATGAAGCCAGCTAGACCATAGATGTGTGTTGACATGTTTTGACCTATTTTCACCATAGCTCACTTGAGAGGCGGGGAACGAAAGCGATGACGACGACACGACGACGATCGTGAAAACACCTTAACAATAATCCCCTGAGATGATGTTTGTGATGTCGTGTCCCTTTGGGGGGGCCCCCCCGTGGTGGGGAACTTTTAGACCAATGTGCCGCCAGGGCTCCTTAGCATACTTTTCATGCAAAACCATAAGACTCCCACAAACGACCAGCAAAGCAAATCGACCTAACAAAAAAGTAATTTGCACGAAACCATGACACACACAAAGCAAAACAATACTTTATACTTTTTAACCATCATCAAAAAGTACATGCAGACGCAAACTTGTGATTTTTTACCTTGAAATGTTAAAGTAAAAAACCACAAGTTTTGTAAAAGAACCTGGATAAAAAGGACAACATAGAACCAGACTCATCCTTACCAGAGCTCTCCCTGAAGGAAAAGGACATAGAAATCCTTTCTGCTAAATGGATACCGCTTCGTTTGATGTCTGTTTTTAAGCTGGTGACCTGGATTACCTGAACTTTGGATTACCTGAAACTTCAGAATATGTTACAAACAGGCGATTTGTAAACTATTTTAGTAGCACCACAAAAGTATTTAATGCGAATGCGGGGGCGAAAAACATCAGGTTTTACATTTCAGGAGAGGATAATACCTATTTGGATTTGAGTTCAGTAAGGTTGTTTGCAACTTTGCAAAATAACGATCGAACAAGACACCATTTCTTACGTCCATTAGGAGGCTTACATGCCTTTATTCAACGATACAGAGCAACAGTAGGAGGTCAAATGGATCGAAATATTGTTGAATACAATAGACACTGTGAGTTGTATGTTAGAGACATGGATGACATAGAGATGTCAGCTAACCCAAGATGGGACGCTGACTTTCATGACTATGCTAATGGTTTGGATGTATTATTGCAGGCTACTACTGCTGGTGTTACTCCAACCCCCGGTGTAGTAACTGTATCCCCTGACGGTGATAAAAATGAATGAGGTAGAATAGATAAAAGATACAGTATACAAGACACTCATTGACAGGAATTCCCGGCGCTAATGGTAAAGCCCGATTCAGCCATAAGCCTGTTTGCGGGTTGATGCAATCAAACTGTTATTTACCTTTGAGGTATGCGCCTTTGGAATTAGAATTCACAATTGTTAATGATGAATTGGTACCTATTGTAGAACCACAAGGAGGCGCAGTAGGAAACCCGAACACTCAAACTGACAAACAGGGGTATTACTTTCAAGCAGCTAACACTTCTACACAGTGGGAATTAAACAATGTTATTATCAAAGCTGAAGTAATGACTTTAGACAACACTGTTAATAACAACATAGTAAAACATTTGTTGGACGGTCAGTCACTAAAACTGGTCTTTCCTATGTATCACACACTGACACAAACCTTCAACACAGGAGGCGGTGAATTGGATATGAACATTGTCAAGTCATCATTCAAACTCA